GTGTTATAAGGACGATGTCATCAGCAAGGCGAAGATGATGTAACTGCCGACTATCGATTTTCACTTCCATATTATCCCATTCCATTGTTCGCATAACGTTATGGAGTGTGGCGGTAAGTAATTTTGGCGAGATGTCATCGCCTTGCCCAATTCGTCTTTTGACGTCAATGTTCATATCGTTGTAGAATGTTGACATCTTGGCCGTGAACTTCTTCTACAGCTCACGAAGAATCTTTATGTACTGAGTAGGGACTCCTTGACTATCAAAGGCTTCCAAGACTGCTTTTATCTCAACTGCGGCCATTTGTACTCTCGCGATACTTCAATGAACCGCGTTACCGTGTGGATGTGGTCCGTCGTACTAAATCCTCTTCGAAAGCCTGCTTGCTCACATGGCTCTCCTTCTGTCAATCCTGTTTAGGACAACTCAAGTGAAAAGTTTGTAGACGACAGAGAGTAAACAGATTGGGCGGTAGTTGCCGATATCGTGCAGGTCACCGTGCACTCTCTTGTGGTCTCTTGAATAATAATACGGTCTTGCTGTCTTCCACTGAGTAGGGACCATGCATTCAGACAAGTAATGTGTGAAGCACCGAGCCAGTGTGTTTACGAGGGCTGGCGGAGGGTTCTTCAGGTGTTCTGGTCATATCGTGTCCGGACCTGGTGCTGTTCGATTTTTCACCGATGAAATGGCATTTCGGTTTTCGGAAGGGAGAACCGGTGATACAACATATCCGTCCTCTTTTATTTCATATGACTGAAGATGGACGTGGCTATCGACGAGATCCGAGTAGTATTCGTGAATGATTTTCTCCATTGCCTTTGTGGACGCTGTAACTGTTCCATCTGGGCGCCGGAGAGCAAACATTCTGGCATTGTAATTGGCGAAGCTTCAGTGGGCTTTACGAATGCTTTTCCCAGCCTTTGCAGCTTCGGCCATTACTGCTGCTCTTCTCTCTCTAAGATCTTTTCTCGCCTCTCTGCATTGTTTTGCAAGTTCGGACGTTAGTTCGCGGTTGCGTGCAGCTCGTGCGATTCCACACTGGGGTATCAGCCTAAGTGTTTCTGGGTCGTATTCTTCGTCGATGTTANTACGAATGCTTTTCCCAGCCTTTGCAGCTTCGGCCATTACTGCTGCTCTTCTCTCTCTAAGATCTTTTCTCGCCTCTCTGCATTGTTTTGCAAGTTCGGACGTTAGTTCGCGGTTGCGTGCAGCTCGTGCGATTCCACACTGGCGTATCAGCCTAAGTGTTTGTGGGTCGTATTCTTCGTCGATGTTATCGACAACGGCATCCCAACAACCGACTAATGAATTGAATAAATCCCAGTCTACGGTAGTTCTGGGACTTCGGTTTTGGAATTTAGCGGCTTTTTCTCCCTTCCGCGAGAAATACAATCTTGCACGAAGGAGGCGATGGTCTGATCCTGTGCAGAATTTTGAGACAACGGCGACATCGGTTAGGCAAAACCTTCTATTTACTATGATGTGGTCTATTTCGTTGCGGTACTCTCCATTGGAAGACCACCACGTCCAGCGTTGAGTGGGGAGCTGGAATTGCGAGTTACCATAGATGGTCTTGTTCGCCATGAGAAACTCAGACAGTCGCTCATCCTGTTCGTTCCATTCTAATCGGTGGGTCCCAATCTGAGGTTCTTCATTCGTCCTTCTTGGTCCAATCTTGCCGTTGAAATCTCCAATGATGACCTTGAAGAATGGGGCCAAGCTACTCTGGCTACTAAGCTAGCTACTAAGCTAAGCTAAATAGCCCAGTTAGATGGCCATGCCATCTCCTACCTAATGATGTCGAACCTCTTCGTGTGGGTCCGTTTGCCTCAGTGCAACAGTCGGACGCCAAAGGGGTGCTTCATTGTTTAAATCCGTTGTGAACTTGCCTACTTTCCGATTAATTGTAAACAAACTTACTGATGGGCTCAGATTTTCGTTAGATTGTCATCTTTATAACAGAACTTCACTTTTATTCGCACAAAGTAGCAAATAACATTGTTAAGATGCATGTAATGTGTTTAACTGTTAAAAATCAATGGCCACGTTTACATAACACTTAAAGATTGACGTATTTGAGGACTCTCTGAACATCTTCAATTTTTGAAGCCCTGATCTTATTTCCATCGTATCGGATTTCGTAGAGCTAAAATCCATTGAATTTTAGTCGTACTCTGTACTTTTACTGTCATCATCAAGTTAATATGCGACTACTAGCACTGTTATTATTATATATGGTAGCGAATTATGACCACAGTAATGCTGAGATATTCTCAAAACTCGGGAGCGCTGGTGTTTTCGGTGGAGATCGAACACGTTTTTGCCCTTTCCGGGGGCTAACGCGTTAACCACCACGCCATGCGGGTCCTTCGTTTTGCCTTTCTCTCAGCCTTGTTCTATAAGTGTTATCAGAAATCAACCGTCAACGGGATTGAACGCGTTAACCCAGAAAGGGTAATAACGTGTTCGCTCCCTACCACAAACACTTGCGCTCCAGAGTTTTGGAAATATATCAACATAGGCAGTTAATAAAAAGTGACTATATTGTTGATAGTATTGTCATTATTATTATTGTTATTATAATTCGTTGATCAACGTACAGCTTCAGATCCCCCATGATAGAGAGGACACATTGATTCGCAAATATCGTCTAAGTTGTTGCCGTCCTAAAATTGTGCTACATGACTATTAAGAAAAACCGGATAAATTTCATTTGTTATTTAAATACTCATATCTTTTGATTAGATATTATAGTGGTTTTGCTTTCTTGCCTTTGTCGCCTGCTCTTCCGTGGTTAATTGGCCAATGAGCCGAGCTACCGCCAGTAAAGTCTTGTAAAGGTTCTCCTTGTCATGTGTGAAAGTGGTTTCTGCTCGCTCTGGGGACTCGTTTGGCATCATCTTTTTCCCCTAAGATCCGCATAAAGTAATCTAATCACCAGTCTGCGCTCTCCCGATTATACTTGATCCCGTAGAAGCAAATTATTGGCAACTGTTGTCAGTATTTCCTCACAAGATGCATCTCATTTCTGGCTCACCTGATCTTCGAACTGTTGGGGTACACGACTAACTCTGATCCTTGACGGTCGACATAGGACAGGCATGTCGAATTACCCATAATGTCCGCCACAACGGCAAAGGAAGCTTCACGAAAGGGCAACGTCAAAAACAACACTTTGCTGTACGAACGGATAACGGAAGGGTTACTGCAGTTGTTTTAGAAGAAAACGCGGAAAGGTTTTATGCCTTTCGTCATGTTTCTCTCAGGCAGTCGGTTGAGTACCCTCAACCAGTTGGTGCTTTTTTGTAAGAATGCTCGTCCCAAGAAAACACCTCATTTCGATCCACGACGGCGTTTAATTAAGAACGGAAAACACTTTAAGATGGCTATCTTAGCATGCCAAGGAAAAACTCTCCCAATCAGAATTTACCACGTCAGTTCAGTATGACGATTACAGATCTTCTTGTTGCAGCCTAATACACGAACGAAGCTCGCTACCAGTATCAATGACAGTTGTATAGCGTACAAAAGAATCGGCGTTTTCATGAATGATCCAGCATATACGTCGTTGTTATAAAAAGCTTGTAGTAACTAACGTCTTGACAAGCTTGCCTGCTTGGTAGCCGCAACGATTCAAGTTTATTGCTAATTGGCATTCATTCTTCCAAGATGGGTTCTCGTTGGACGCATCGAATAAATTCCAGTGGAGTAAAGCATCGCTCAATTGGTGTAGCTTCACTCAGCAGCGCCCTTTTATACATGACGGTTGTTGATTGACTGATTCGCCGATGATAATTCCTTCTTATGAAGAAAATCTGTTCTGCAGAAGACGCTATTATAGCAGCTTGTACATAAGAAAGCGGTATTTTTGAAAACTGAATACAAAGAAATGTTAGCCAGAATACAGTTTCCAATCTCATATAAGCTCAGCAGTTCACGAAAATATCGATTACTTGTATTAAGGTCAAATTAAAGCCGTTTTTCAAAAACACTATTTCGTTACAATATGAGCATGTAGAATTGGTGGTACCCGCATCTCGTGTCAAGATGAACCATTTCGGATTACTCGTATTACGACTTCCTCAATGTCCGACAAATACTGACTGTAGTTTCAGCTACTTAAGCGGGGTCCAGGTTTCCGACATTTACACTAAAATGGGAGAAATCATATAGTGGAAAAAATGAGTATGATGTCGGACGTTCCTTGCATTCTTCACTGCTACCTCAGTACTCTTGCGAATTCCAAAAGGTTCTAATTAAATCGTTCAACTTGCTGCCTTCTCGAGCTAGGTACGCGGAGTATTCGTTGTGAGAATGAATGGGGCTTCATAAACGCACCATCTTATGAGTATCATTTTCAGTGGATTCAACCAAAAGTGAGCGTTTCCAAAAGCGCTCTTGCGACCAACCTTCATTTGGTCCGTAGGGTTAATTCTTCATATTATACGAATGATTTAATTAGAAAAACATGGGTGGTGTGGGTACGCGTCATCGTCCTTTACTCCGACACTATCCTATTCGAGTTTTCTTTTAAAATGCCCAATTTTTATTATGCAAAGAAATTAGGCAAAAAAAGAATGGCGAATGTGCTGGGGTCTGCACAACTCGTGAAGACGGCTCATCCAACTATCCAAGTAAGTATCCAAGAATTTTTATTACGAAGTTGACGTACAGCTTACGAAAGCTCTTCAAATACTTCTTGAAGTAGGAACACATTTGTGATGCGAAACCCACACAGAAGATTTTTTTTCTTCATTACTGGAATCGAAGAACCACGTTTCGGTCTAGGTTTCAGATACAGCGACATGTTCCACTTTTACGATGCTTCATTAATTTTCTTTACCCTGCAGATATGATCCGCTGTGCTGAACGTTGTTTCTTCAAACATCTTTGTTTCTACCGCTGTTTTTGTCTAACTCTTTGTCGTTCTTGACGATTATTAACATTATTAAAAGGCTTTTAGATAACGGCTAGCAGACATACTTAGTTATAATAGCCAATGTCGTGCAGGTCTATATTTTTGTATAACAGCATGGTCCACCGAGTTTTCCAGTCAACAAAAATTTCCGTTCTGTTAGTTAAGGTATTAACAAAGCCAATATATTGTTGAGCATTATCTGTAAGTTCTTTGAGTTTCATAGTCGTTCTTCTGGTGAAATAGGTATCGTACGATTATCCATTGATAAGGAACCAAATCAGGTTTCGAAAACGAGAATTGCTAGGATAACATATCCGTACTCGCTGGGGTGATATGATATGAAGTGAGATGGAGGTGATTGGTGAAGCGATTGCATTGGAGTAGGAGTCGTGGAAACATTCGTGTGCTGATATTCCTGATATACTGACTGTTCTATACGCTTATGAGTGATTGGTGACCTCTGTGTTGTGATCCGCAACGTGCAACCACATGATGATGATGCTCTTGCCAGCAGTCTCAACCAGTATTCTTGTTCTTTTCTCCTTAAGAGGAGTTTTTGTCGCATCTTTGTATTTTCTGTTCAGAATTACATACTTGAAAGCGAAGTGAGTGCTCTTATACGGAATATGCTGTTGATACATCGGCTTAGAGCTCTGTGAGATGAACGTCGTCTTTGGATGGATTTTAAATTTCCAGCTTTGGTAGGAATGTGATGAAGGTGTTGGATGGGCCGATTATCTTCCTTACCTATGTTGTCGATAGGGCGTGTGTGGCGCGTAGTAGTGCTCGGATGCGCCCTACAACACACCTGGGATCGATCTCCGCACCTATGGCCCATCCCTCCGGGTTCAGCAAGTTGCTATCAGATTTGTCTTCGAGGATAGCAGCACTGGCTCAATACATCGGTTGACCACCGCCAGTCATTTTGAAGGGCAGATATGCATTCAATCACCTCTAGACGATGCTTAATGAAGTCGAGTGCATGGCGCATCTCTCGGGAATTGATCAACGCCGGGAGCTTTATACTTTTTTTGTGTTGCCGTTAACAACATCCTTCTAATGGTGCGACCGTTTAAGAAGAATTTTCTCAATCGGTGGTTCTTTTAAAACATCGCACCATGGATTTTTTTCGTTATCTGTCAATTCTACGAGTTGTGTCTAGTATAATTATAACTGTCAGTATAATGTTTATCATCGTGGCAAATTCATTCTCTCAAACTCCGTTACATTCTAATCTGCTGGTCCTGAAACGAGCTTCTTGGGACGTTTTTTGTCATATCGTTCCAATAATGGTTTTGTTGCAGACATGATTCTTCTTTAGAATTTCACCAAGACTAAATAAAAGGCGTCGGCCGTGTCTTCGTTATAAGTTGGTGTTGGATCATGTTGTTAAACAATTTCTGTTCGGCCATTTTCAACCATAATTGACTACGTGGATTATAGTTATTCAAAGTAGTTGATGTTCACGGCAAAAACTCATGTTGGTGAGAGAGCCAACTCTGCCAACTTCTCTACTACAGCATGTTTGAATGGATATTTTGCAATATTATGAACGGCGCTTACAAGACGGCGTTTTGTTTTCTGGACCGGTTCGACAACGTTGTATTCACGCTTCTTACTCGGCACTGTCAGATCACAATGAATTCTTCCGATGACAGCTAACGAGCATATTTCCCTTCTAAGGTCATCGCAATCCTTCTTCCGATATCTTTGTAGCCGATAAGAGCCAATTACAGTAATGTCTTCCTCCATACTTGGGTATTTAATTCTGTAGTATCACTGGTTCTTTCGAAAAAGTTCATTAATTTTAATACTTTTGAAGGGAATGCTCAGGGATAGCTTGCCGAGTCTTTTAAGAGTAGGAATGGAGTTTATCTGTTAGAGACAACGTCAAAGCACAATCTTACCTCACAGTTACTGGATTGGTGGCTTTCGTTGAGTCGACATGTAGGATTGAATTCGTTTTCATACAGACGCACACATGCATGCATGATGAATATGTCTACGTACACATTAAAGCAGGCGACGACGACGACTAGTACAGTGGTTTAGAAGTGCCCTCCAAAACACACGGGATCGGTCGTAGGCTTGATCATTCTTCGAGCTCGCCAAACCCTTCTTTACTCTACAGTTGAAAATTGGTGCGAAACCTGTCTGACAAGATAAAAACACTGACTTGACACATCGGTAGGCCTCCACAACTAACTGTTTGGGCTAAATATGCATTCAACCACCTCTTACGATGTTTAGTGAAGTCGAATGTATGACGCGTCCCTCATTGATCAATGCAGACTGCTTTGTATCGTTTTATCCCTTACATATTATAGAAGCTGCAAGGCAATGCTGAACGCTAGAAGAGCGAGTCCATCTGAATCCATTAGCATCTCATGAGAGATATTTCGCCAGGAGATTTCAGTTTTACTACTTGCACTTAGCTTGTTGTGATAGAAAATTTTTTTTACAACCAAAAACGCCTACCTTTGGACCACACCAGGCTTCTTGGAAGAGCACAACACTTTCAATCATTCCACGCCGACTCCTGGCCTCTAACACCTGAACGACAGGAAGGTTGATCAAACATTTTTGTAAGAGAGGACGAAAACACTAAAAAATTATTCTCTGACCTTTTTGGGAACCATGAATCGACCGGTTTTTTTATGTTGATTGACCACACTAGCTGCTGCATCCCATGCTATACCCTGTACGTTAAACAATTTCAAAATATTGAGTCATATCTAAATTTCTTTTTCAATGTTTAAAATACTTGGATTTTAAGTTAAATTTCAATATATTTGTTTTTAGCTCTTTGGGATTTGTTATGATCATCGTTAACCACATAAAATAAATGGGGTGGGTAGATAGCGGAGTACTAGTGGTGCCGTTAAATACCTTCGAAGCCCTAATGCGAATCCATCTCGAGCCAAACACAATTCTTTGTCTCTCGGGTTTTAAAAATCTCTGCCAGAATTATCTAAGATTGTCTTTCCGTCCGATGTACAGAAGCTAGCGGCTGCCTGTGATGAAGGTCAGGTAACGCGTTATCAAAGAAGCTATAAACAAATGTTGCAGATCCGTTTGAAATCTTACATGCGAGGGAAGAACTTGAATGCGCAGTGTGTTACAGCAAATTTATGAGTACGGACTGAGAAAGATCGATTTACTGGGTTGTTCTAAGTAAGCAATACATCTACCGTATAGCACATTTTGTTAGAGTGAAATGTTTGTAGAGTGGCTTCTACTTCGTAGTCATTGGAAATGGCTATTTTTTGTGCGAGGTTTAGCGATCCTTCCTTTCCTTTTCTCATTACAAATTAAAAATTCTATCATATTAAACTAACTTAGCAATAAGATCACCAATAAACAAAAACAAATAAAAATAACCATACTACATCTACAAAATGCCAATATAAAATTCCAAATTCAAGACCTAAGTGGTGATTATAATTAAAATGATACTTGTACATTTGCTTACTCAAATGGACAATTGATGTATACAAACCACAAAAAGTAAAAAAACGCTTATTATCATTTGAAACGAAAGCTAAGGAAATTTTTTGGAAGATGCGGTGCTGTATTCCAATCCACTCGATACGGGTCGTGTGATTTTTATTACCCACGTAGCAAGAATGGGGGCGTGTGGCGCAGTGGTCGGTGGCATCCTGCAACACATAAGTGGAATTGATCCTCGCGTCCATGGCCCACTAAGCCTTCCATCCCTCCAGGATCGGTAAATTGGTTCCAAACTTGCCTGGGAGGATAGAAAAACTGGCTCGAGACATATGTAGGGCACCGCGAGTCATTATGAAGGTGCATTCCATGGCGCGTCCCGCAGGGATTGATCAACGCAGAGAGTTTTATCCTTTATCGTTTTTACATAGCAAGAAACAACTACTATAGACAGCCAACTGGAATTACTGCGACTCTAAAGAAGGCGATCTCATCGAGACGTTTGCCACAATGAAGACTTTTTCGGATAACCTTATATAAGCTGGTGAATACAACAAAATAAGACAGATCGTTTTCTAGTGAATAGAGTGCCCTATTCCAGCTACCAACCGCCCCTTGTGAAGTACGTAATGAGATGCGTTGTGGAAGAAGAAAAGAAATGCGATAGTTGAACAGAAACTTGAAGAAGCAAAAGAAACGTGGTAGTGAAATGGAACTCTAAGGTGTTCGTTAAGCATTGTTTCTACAAATCTTTTAAAGGACAAAGCACTCGTCTACTTTCTCGATTTGACATGAAATGAAAAAAACGTTATTGAAATGAAGAGAAAACACATCAAGACAGTCGGTCTTAATAATATACTCGAATAATCAGAATTCGGGGACCCGGTGCAGAATGTGATGATTCGACGTCCATCACGAAAAGTCAATTGCAAATAATGACGGAAATCTCTTAAGAAATCAATTGATGGCGGTAAACAGATATACAAGTGTATAATTCCTGGATAATCAATGAACGGATCATCTTTGAGTTCACTGTTGTTCATTATGATTCTTGATGCTGTGTATGTCTTAATGGTGCAGCGCTGATTGTGAAGATAATAGAAAACCCATAGCTCAAATTTAAAAAGTTGTTACCAGTGGAAGATTTCGATTCAATCTAAATATGATCCAGTATCCCTACAAACGTAGGCAGGATCGAGGAAATTGAGAGCTTTATCGATGTAATGCAAAATGTGGGGGTCGTTAATTCTAACCTTTAGCCCTACGTACCACTTAATAGAGAAGGAGACGATTTCAACCATTCTAGGCTAGTACGTTCTTCATTCAAAGTAGGTTCTTCATTTGGCACTTGTGCCACCTAATCCCCTTAATTATTAAGAAACTAGATCGCACACCAATAAAATCAATTCGTCCATGTCGTCCATCATGGTTCCTCCTGGACTACGGTCACTTAAAAGACATGAAGAGCGTCACATTCCGAGTATAATTCCTTACAGTTCATTTTGTCGGTAAGAAGCCATGAGTTGGTCATAGGTCTTTACTATGGACCTGATACTGATACTGATAAATGCAGGTGGATCTTTTGACAGAAATGTCCAATTGCTTCTCATCTTGAGTGATCTGGTCGACATCAATGTTTACCATTTAACCAGGATGAAATACTAAACTATTAGAGGAAGAGGCCAGCTCTTGGCGTAGGCGAACCGAACTTTGAATAATGGACATCAAGAACGTTACATATGTATTTACACATGATGTGGCTTACAACTAAATGGACCGCCGAAAAATTTGTAAGATCCTTTTACATTTTTACCTTTTGTGAACTGTTATGCTAATATCTTTAAAATGATAAGAAGTTGCTGACCAGGAACCTCTGATCGTCAACGTTCTCCTGTTTCCATACTTTTGCTCCATTTGCAATACCAACATAGCAAGCACATAGAAGTAAGGCGTATGAGAAGAACATCTGCTAAATATTTTTTTAATTAATAAACCTTTTAGGAGGAAAAATAGCCGCGATACTGTCTTTTGGTTGATAGAAATATGATGAAAGCGATTTGTCCTTCATGAAAATTAGATCGGAGTCCTCAGCGCAAAATATCGAACAGGAATTTTTCTATGAATTAAAGATGGATGAACATATGGGCATATATTCCAATTGACCGAGCTTTGAAGTGTTGGAATAATCGAATTTATGCGGAATTTAGAGGTGATCGCACCATAGTGGCTAGAGGTAACCTGCTATACAAAAAGTCGTTGTTTCGTTCCCATGTCTGACAGAAAATAAGTCTTCCATTCCTGCAGTTTGCTACTAGGCAGGAAAGAAACACTGATTTTACGTATTGGCAGACTCCAGCAAATCATAATACAAGCCAACAATTATGCATCCAATCAGCTCTACGATGCTATGAACGAGGTCGATTGCATGGCTCATCCCTTTGCGATTTGATTAACGCCGAACGCTTTTTGGATTTGAGCAAAATTCTGAAGAGTATTTGAATAGAAAATGAAAATATGCTGAAAGGAAACGACATTGTCTCTCTAAAATGATGGTTCCAGTGGGTGTTCAGTCCGTTTTATCAGCCAGAGTGTTTTTTGATCTTTTCACTTTTAAGTGATTGAATCTCGTTTGCACTTAGTCGTGAACGAACGGTTCCATTCTCTTATGGTGTTATAAAAAAGTATCTTGATGGTTTGATGAACATCGAAGAGTCTTATTGAAACTGTTTAAAAAACATTTCAGAAACGTGCAGACATGTGAAGAAGTCGTCACGGTTCGGAATGAAAAGGACCGTTTCACTATTTAAACGATAAAAATCCATCATAGATTTACAGGAACCCCATCAGTGCTTGGGAAGGCGATTCATTTTAATACAAAAATACCAGTATTACTGGTATTACTTGTATTAACTGTAACCCCTCCAAACACAAAGTGAATAGAGCGATCATCAGTAGTTTTCTTCCGTTAGTCTGGAAGTGAAAGTGTTCTTCCTGTTTGTTGTAGATGATCACAAATGGCTTCCAACAAGTATTTGGTGACCAGATGATTATAGACTTTTCAGAGTAAATTGACGTTTGGAATACGGGGGGGGATACCGCATTAATCTACGTATGTACTAATATGGCCAGGTGCGTATCTAAGCTAATTTGGTAGAATCTAGCACAGTTGTCAGAGACCCGATATAGTACTAGTACGCAACACGAGGTTGCTAGTTCTACTGAGCGTCCAGGTTGAACTTAGTCTTCAACAGCTACGAGATCGGAAAATTCGTACCAAACTCGTATGAGAGGATAAAAACGCTGATTCGACTCATCGATAGGAGCCCACAAGTTACCATGTAAATTGAATATGCGTTTAACCACTTATACGATGCTCAATAAAGTTGAATGAACGGCACTTTCCTGAAGAACGGTCACCACCGAAAGTTTCTTCCTATCTCCTTTTATACGGAAGGTAAAAGTCAATTTGGCGAAGCAGATACCGGAACGGCTTCCATACCATACAACACTAAATTACGATCTTAACAACTTTTCTCGAGGATTCGTGTGATGAATGAAGGCTGACATTGTGCTCTTTCCATGTTTTCTATATCCACCGACTCTAATATTGTTTGAATGGTTTATCATAATGGTTGAAAAGATTGGTTTATTAATTACTGGTAACAGTTTTCATTATTTCAAGCTGAACTATATTGTCGGAGAACGAATACCACATAATACCGATGAATATACCACCAATGGTGAGAAGAAGGAAAACCAAGACATTGAGGGCGTAATTGTAACTGACTGTAAGGGCGTGTGTGGCGCAGTGGTTGGAGGCGCCCTGCAACACACAAGTGGAATCGATCCCCGCGTCCATGGCCCTAGCCATCAATTCGGGGTCGGCGAATTGTTACCAGACTTATCCGCGGATCCACGGATCTTCCTCATATGAGGGATCTCGAGCCGGTTAGTCGCTAGGCTACGTGGCGCGTCCCCAGGTGGCGGATATGGGGTTAATCGCGGACCAAAAGCGACCTTTGCTTCCCTGAGACGCAGGTGGATCCAGGGGATGGACTCCTGTTTCTGCTGCGCTGATTTGGCACGTACTTTTTGTATTTGCTAGGCGTATTCATGCATGCGTGTGTGGGTGCGTTCTTGCTTATGCGGATTGCAGTCTACGAGTCAATTCGGCCAAAAACCTGCAATCAAGTGACTGGGAAGTATATGAGAGGCTGTTAGGAGTCGCCTCCAACATATAAGCTCCATGTCCACTGTGGGAGAGCCTGGCATGCTACCCGTGAGTATACCCAGCCCTTACGTTCAGAGCCCAGCAAGCTACGCGTGGGTATCAAAAATGTTAAACACAGTACAAAAAAAAAACAGGCCACATTCCCCTGATCCCGAAAAAGCCCCCAATTTCGCAGTGTTGGGTAGGACGAGTACGGAGAGGCTGCTAAAATCTCAGGACCAATGGAAGCTGTCTGGATTTCAAAGAACTATGGTGACGATCTGTACCTAAAATGCACGTACACTTGCATCCGAATCCGCGATAGAAGACTTGCTCATGCAAGCAAGAAGGATAAGGCATGACGTCATTGGCCTGGCCGAGATGAAACCACGCCACCCATTTAATCCCGTCTATGACACCGAAGAAGAACTGTTTCTCGGAACATGCGACAGTAGAGGAGTCGGCGACGTCGGCGTTCTCGTCAACACGAGTTTGTCCATGAACATCGATTTAATCGAACAGCTTACAACCCGAATCGGACGTTTACGATTAAGAAGACGTGGATCAATTCCGGCTTTGACAATCTTCGTCGTTTACGTGCCTGCATCAAACTATGACGAAGAAGTCGAAGCGCTCTATATGAACTTGGAGAAGTTCTACAGAGAATACCACACATTCTTCAAGTTCATCATTGGAGATTTCAACGGCAAGATTGGACCAAGAAGAACGTCTGAAGAACGTCACATTGGGACCCATGGATTAGAATGGAACGAACAGGGCGAGCGACTTTCTGAGTTTATCATGGCGACCAAGGCAATCGATGGTAACTCGGAATTCCAGAAACTCCACCTTCAGCGCAGGACGTGGGAGTCTCCCAATGGAGAGTACGGTAACGAAATAGACCACATTATAGTAAACAGAAGGTTTTGCCTAACCGATGTCGCTGTTGTCTCAAAATTCTGCACAGGATCAGACCATCGCCTCCTTCGTGGAAGATTCTATTTCTCGCGGAAAGGAGAAAAAGCCGCTAAATTCCAAAACCGAGTTCCAGAACTACCGTAGACTGGGATTTATTCAATTCATTAATCGGTTGTTGGGATGCCGTTGTCGATAGAATCGACGGAGAATACGATCGGCTCATTCAACATCTTCGAGCCAGCGCTATGAAAGCTGAGCGTTCGAAAATCACCAAGATACGTCTGTCTCCAGAAGCATGCGAGCTGTACGCCAGCGTGGAATCGCACGAGCTGCAGGCAACCGCGAGCTAACGTCCGAACTTGCAAAACAATGCAGACAGGCGATAAAAGAACATCTTAAAGAGAGAAGAGCAGCAGTAATGGTCGAAGCTTCAGAAGCTGGGAAAAGCATTCGCAAAGCCCACCGAAGCTTCGCCAATTACAATGCCAGAATGTTTGCTCTCCGGCGCAAAGACGAAACAGTTACAGCGTCCAGAAAGGCAATGGAAAAAATCATTCACGAATACTACTCGGATCTCGTCGATAGCCACGTCCACCTTCCGTCATATGAAATAAAAGAGGATGGATATGTTGTACCACCGGTTCTCCCTTCCGAAATCCGACGTGCCATCTCGTCGGTGAAAAATCGAACAGCACCAGGTCCGGGCAGGATAAGACAAGAACACCTGAAGAACCTTCCGCCAGTCCTCGTAAACACACTGCCTCGGCTCTTCACATGTTACCTGTCTGAATGCAAAGTCTCTACTCAGTTGAAGACAGCAAGACCGTGTTATTATTCAAGAGAGTGACCTGCACGACATCGGCAACTACCGCTCGATCTGCTTACTATCAGTCGTCTACAAACTTTTCACTTGAGTCGTCCTAAACAGGATTGACAGAACAATAGACGAAGGACGGCCATGTGAGCAAGCAGGCTTTCGAAGAGGATTTAATACGATGAACCACATCTACACGGTAACACGGCTCATTGAAGTATCGCGAGAGTACAAAAGACCGCTCTGTCTCACTTTCATCGATTTACAGAAGGCTTTCGATTCAGTTGAGATAGAAGCAGTCTCGGAAGCCCTTGATAGTCAAGAAATCCCTTCTCAATAACTCGAAAGACCGACTTTCTATGAACCTCGGCATAAATAGTTGATATATTTATTTATGAGATCTTATAAACTGATCTTCTTAAGCTGACGCGAGGTTGGTACAGATCTTCGTTGTCGTTGTCGTTGTCGTTGTTTTTGATGTTATTGATCGATGGCTGACGTTTCGGCGACTTCGCCTTCCTCAGAGCCGTGATGTTACGTGCGGGACTCGCATGGTCCATCCACGCTCACCGGAAGGAATATTTCCGAATGCTCCAATTATATCTATCTAGGTTGGGAAATCAATATGATGAACGACCTAACACCAGAGCTGAGCAAAAGAAAACGAGACGAGCAGCTTGGGAGCTTTCAAGAGCATCGGTG